AATTTGAATTATTTCTTTTTTTTATTAAAACATTTTATTTGAATTAATAAATATTTTTAATTTTATTAAATTTTATTATTAATTATTATTCAATTGTTTTAAATTTCATTTCAATGATTATTTCGCTACTTGGAACAAGCTGCACTGCAAATTTTGAAAACTTGCTGCAAGCTTGCTGAAGATATAATGGTTACTTGGGAATATTTGAATTCTTTGAAGTAATTTTGAGATTTAAATTTTTTGAATGTATATTATTATTTGCTTTTTTTTAATTAATAATTATATTTTGATTTAAGTTAAACTAATAAAAAGAAATTTATTTTTATTGTACTGTGACTAATGGCCGATTGACCAAGTAACTGTCAATCAAAAGAAATGCCAATTAGTTGACTTTGTTTCTCTTTAATGAATTGAAATCTATTTTAAAAAATAACATTAGTCATTCGTCTTAATATAAAATTTGTATTTATATACAATTAAATAATTACGTATAATACGTAATTGTACGTATGGTACGGTATTTATAATAATTATTTAGAAAATTTTTAGCAAACGTATTTATAATACGTATTTCTAGAACGTAGTATAAAACGTACATTATATATTGCAGAAAATATTTAATTTTTATGACATATTTTTGCATATATGTACTTGAAAAAATGTATCGACCATTAGAAAAAGTTCCCTTTCGTTGCAATAGATATTCTGTAAGTAATTCTTTAGATATATATTTTTCATCACAATTTTGTTTTATTGAATTTTTTTTCTCTCCTATCGAATTGATTGAATTTTACCCGTTTCCGCGTTACTCTTCGAAGACCTAGCATTATCTTGAAATACGCTCTCTTTGCCTATTTACGCCTCAATTCCTTTTTACCTTGAAGATCATCCTACCATCTAGTTACTTTTTTCTCAAGTATTATAATGATACGATATATTGTTTCATGTGTATTTTTATTTATTTATTTATTTTTACAGTCGTAAATAATTTCGACTTTTATGTATCAACATTTTTCCACTTCATTCATCAATTATTATTTATTGGATCATATTCTGGATGATATAAGAGAAAATTTTTATTTATTTATTTTTTTTTTCGCTGCAATAAAATCTCGGGAAAGAAATTCGATTTTCGTTATAGCTGAAGAAACTTCTTTTAGCCTAAATTGAATATTGACCTAAATAATATTTACCCTCTTATTCGTATCTCAAGTAAAATGCGAATGTTTCGTCCTGATAGCCAAAAGTTTTCGAATATAAATTCTCCCCAATCTTAGAAGGCAGCGGTAAAGAAATCGGATCATTTGCATTTGGGTCACTTATAAAATCGAATTAATGGGAAGATACATCAGATAAATTTTGTTTTAAAATTTTTATTTACGATGAGGTACAAAGTTTCTTTTCGTACTTAGAACTTGGAGGAATTTGAATGATGAAAAATTTGGAGATTTTAGGAAAATTTTTTTATTAGTCTGTATATTGTATTTTGTATGTCAAGAATTTGATTGATAAACTAATTAATTAATTTGTATAGTATTGTTTTTTTAAATTTATTTTCCCTTGATTGTGAAAAAATTATAATATTAATCTCAAATTCAATATTATTTTTATTTGCACAAGCAGTGTTGTGTTATAAAACAGACTTTCTTTAAATTAAATTCATTTTGTTCAAATAAAAAAATTATTTGTTTTTTAAATAAGTTTTTTATTGTTTTTTTATTTTATTTTTTTCATTGAATTTCCTTTAGTGAATTTATAAATGAATTCTTTTGAATAGAAAAAGATTTTTTTTGTAATATAAAGAAATTTGATTCAAAAACTGAAAGAACTTGATTTAAAACAATAACAATTTGATCAGAATTTAATAAAGAATTTTTATAAGAGTCAAAGATATTTTGGATATTTCGATTCAATAAATATTATTTACTTGAAGGAAATTATTTTTTGATTTAAAGAATTTTTATTTGAAGCATGGAAATATTATGTAAAGCTTTAAAATTTCACGTGATGTAAAGAAGTTTCATTGGAATCAAAGAAATTTTACTTGATGCAGAGAAACTTCATTCAATGCAAAGAAATTTCATTTCAAGCATAGAAATTTCGTTTATAGCAAAAGAAATTCACCGTGGAGCAGGAAACATTAGAATTAAAATATTCTGTTTGAATTAAAAAAATTGTATTTAAATTAAAGATATTTTATTTGGGTTAAAAATATTTTGTTTTATATGAAACAATTTTATTTTAATTAAAAAAATTTTATTTAAATTCAAAACATTTTTTTGAAGCAAAGAAATTTGATTTAATTTAACAAATTTGAATTAGAATATTTTATTTGAATTAAAAATATTTTTATTTAATTAACAAATTTTCATTGGATTAAAAAAATTTTATTTTATTTAAAGAAATCATATTTGAACTTTCCGCATTTGAATAATTTTTATTAATACAATAAAAATATATAAACTAAGGAAACTTTATTTGAAACAAAGAAGTTTTATTTCAATTAACAAAGTTTTATTTAAATTAAAAAATTTTCAATTCAATAGAAAAAATTATAGTTTAATTATTAAAGTTTATTTGAACAATAAAAAGGCAATTTTTATTAGAAAAACTTTTTAGAAGTTATTTTTTAGGAAAAAAATTTAAAATACAAGGAAAAACATTTATTTAAATAAAAGATCTTTCATTGTATTAATTGTTCTTTTAATTAATTGTTCTTTAAAATTTAAAAAGTTTTTTTCTTAGTTCATCGAATTTCTTAAGTGTTTAAAAATTAAAATTTTATTCATAAAATTATTAAGAGCATAAATGGTAATAAAAATAATAATAATAAGTATAATAACAATATTAATTTTAATTTTAATAATATAATAACTATTGTAAAAAAAATAGTAATAATAAAATACCAATTTCTTATACCTAAGAGGGCTTCAGTTTCAAATAAGTAAAGAAGTAAATATTAATAAAGAAGAAGTAATAATATTAATAATAATATTTCCAATAAATGATCATAATTGAACTTCCTCAATAGCAAGGAATATTTAATTCACATTCCATGAATATTCCATTGAAACATTGGGAATATTTAATTGAATCACTGAAAATATTTAATAGAAATATCCAACCATATATTTCAGGAATATTAAAATGTAAGATATTTGGAATATTTTTATAGAATAATATACGAATACTCCATTAGAATATTAGGAATATAGTAGGGATATTCATTGGAATATTTTAATTGAATATAAATACCTAAGTAAATAAAACGAAAAATAACTTTTTACATTTATATTTTTGTTTTCAAATAAATTGATAATTTATTATTAATATATTACAAAAAATGAGTATTGTTAATAATAATAATGATAATAATAAAAGTGATATTTTCACAAAATTTCAATGAAATATTCCAGTAATATTTCGAGGAAATATTTATATATTATTTCAAAGAAAGATTACAAAAGTTCTTAATATTTTTATAACTCTAAGAATATTATAAACATTCTAGGAATACCCACAATATTCCAGTGAAATATTCCAGGAATGTGAATGTATTAGACTGAGAAAAAATTTTTTTAATCAAAAAATAAACAGCCAATCAAAAAAATATGAATTAAAGATATTTTATAATTGAATTAAACGTATTTTTTATTGAATCAAAATTATTATGTTGAATTAAAAAATAATTTTTTGTTGACTGTATAACAAAGATAATTATATTTGATTCAAATATATTGTTTTCTCAGTGTATTTCAATAAAATATTCAAGAAATGTGCATGTAAAATTTCAATTGACTTCTCTCGAATATAACCGCAATATTATGAAATATTCCATTCATATTTTTGGAATATGTCACTGAAATATTCCAAAAATATGAATGCAACATTCCATGCTATTGAGGTTATATTCGAAAGAAATTCCAAAAATATTGCTCTCTATCAGAACTTGATTTTATTTATTTGTTGCAATTTAATCCAGATTTTGAAAAAATTTCTTCATTAGAAGTAATAGTAAAGAAAAAATGTTAATTGTCTGAAGTAATTCGATAAAATATTCTCTACACTTAACACTCGAAAAAGAAGAAATTCACAACTCTTATTATTACGCATATAGACATATAAATATATATATGTTCATGAAGCTACATGTGGCGTTCTTGTTCACCCGTGTCACGAAGCACGATGCGCAACCTTAGCCCCATTGTACGGGGATCCAGGTAAATGACTTTTCGGCTCAATTTCAGCTCGAGTTACCTGGCACGATTCCCCGTTCACTTTTGTCGGGCATTCGACTCGACGACGAACGGCCACCTACTACTTGCAAGCTTAATAAACCAGCCTATGGCGGGCTAGTTTTAGAAATCTGTTTTTAAAATGCGCGCCGAATCAGTGTGTCAAACAAGTATACATAAGAGAAATTCGTTCAAGAAAACAACGGTGATGATAATGTTTCTGTGTTATATACGTGAGTGTGAGAGAGAAAGAGAGCCAGAAGTAAAAAAAATTATTCTCACTTTTATTAGAAATCATTCAAAAGGAAAATGAGTGAAAGGATTTCAAATATTTTTTCCCCATTATAGATCATTTTAATACCAAAAAAAAAACCAAATCGAAAATTTCGATTTTCTTATGTCTTTAAGAAAAAAAATAGTCTAGAGGCGCACTTGGGAAATTTTTTCAACTTCAAACCTTTTTCAATGTTGTTTTCCACACGAACGATCGATCCACGACGAATCCACGAGACACGTGCATCCATTTTTCGCGCACTCACTTTTCGGAGTTGAATCGATGATTTTATAGGTGAATTAATATCATATTTTTCTAATTTATTTTTTAATTTAAAAAAATATTAAATTTTTGACACTTTTGATATACACTTGAGAAGACGGAGAGAAAGAGAGAGAGAGAAATAGGTGTAGATTGATAAGCTCCAAAATGAGGTGGATAAAGAGGAAACCACTGGTCGATTACTCAAGAAATATACGGATATGTAGTACCGTGGTTTTGTGGTTGATCTGCGCCTTGAAATTCTGACATATATGAGCCGATTCGTTTCTTGATGAATATTATTGTGTTTAATTTTTTTTTATTTTTATATTGAGATAGATGATTTATTTATTTTTTTTTTAGAAAAATTTTTTCCTTTTATTTTTTCTTCTTTATTTATTTGTATTTTTTTTCGTTAGGACTCTATATTTTGAACGTTGACTAGCGCGAAGAAAAACGGGGTCGAACGTCAGGGTGGTGGCATGATTGCGACTACCTTGTCGGCGCTGCCCTCACGGCGACAGCGTCGCGACGCCTCTTCGTGAAACACATGCGCTGTTCAATACCGGCCACTATAGGATCGCTTAGCTTTTTTTCATTCACCCCGTCGGCATTGAATCTCACTTTTTTCCCAACGGAGCCATTGATTTTTAGATTCAGAAATTTTTTTTCCATTATTACACTTAATATTGTTGATTGAATAACAATATATTGTTTTTGAATAGTGTTTTGACATTGTTTGGTATCTGAAATCGTTAAGTATTATTTTTAATGAGATTGGTTTGGTAAGATGATAAATTTGTGTCGGCTGTCCCTTGTTTGAACTGTTCTTGGACTCATCGTAAGCTTTCGTAAGAATTTGTCAAGTACTTGAGTTTTAAAAGAAAAAAATAGAGATGAGAAAGGAGATTCTTACTAAGACTGTTTTAGGAATAAATTGTTTGTATCAACTGTCAACTGTTTCCGCTGTCCCTAAGCTCTTTAAAAGTCTCTCAGGAATTCTTTAACTGCTAAAGTTTGAAAGAAAAAAGAGAGGAAACCAGAAGAAAAAAAGAGACTTTTACTGAGACTGCTTTAGAAATAAACTATTTGTATTAACTGTCCAATGTTTCGGCTGTCCCTAAGCTCGCAGAAATTGTTTAACTAGGGGAGAGTGGGGCAAAATGGGGTACCTTTTTGAAATTGGCTGTTTACAGAGAACCAAACGAATAAATCGATTCAGCTAAACTTCAGAATTCTTCTTTGTACACTTGGCTTTGAGGAAATTATGACAATAGCGGAGAAAAAAATTTTTGAAAGAACTTATATCGTATTTTCTAAGAAAGTGCTAAAATCCCATTTTGCCTAACCCGTGGGGCAAAATGGGGTGGCATCAAATAACTGTACAAAACATTGAATATTTTTTCAAAATTCATTAAATTCTTGTTGTATGAGATTATAAATATGAACAAAAAGTAGGATATTTTATTACTATGAAAAAACAAGTAATATTTATTAGAATTTAACAAAAAAACATGGATTTTTGCAAAATATCGATATATCGATAATGAAACATCGATAGTATAAATGCCTCGAAGCAAAAATATCGATTCTTTTGCAGGAAACCTTTAAATATGCATAATATAATGTTTTTAAATAGTTTTAATGGAACGGCGTAGCTTCCGGCATGCCCCACACTTAGGTACCCCATTCTGCCCCACACTGCATATTAAAACAAAATGCAATGTTTACAAGTTATTGTAAACAATGAAACAATCTATTCTACTGGAAATTACTCTAGAATAAGTACTGAAAAAGATCCCACACTTGCCAAATTAAATGCATTAACCCAAAAAGTTTAGTAAGCACTTTAATTTTGAAAAAAATTCATATTTTTTTTGCTTAAAACTTAAAAGTTGTATAACTTTCAAAAAAAAATTTTCTTTCGGGTGTCTTCATAATTAATAACAGTTTCTTATCAACATGAATGATATATGTCGAGGGAAAAAAAATTAAAAGTACCTATCATGGAAAAACAGAGGTACCCCATTTGACCCGCCTACCCCATTTTGCCCCACTCTCCCCTACTTGAACTTATAATCGTGAAATAATATCGTAACAAGTTTTCATGTGAAAACGAATGTTTTAAACCATTTTGGAAATAATGTATTAGTACCAATCATTTTTCGTTTCAACTGTCTCTCGCAGAAAAAAAGTTTTACCTGAAACAGCTATTTACAAAATTTTTAGTCGTTTAAATTAATACTTTTGATATTCTAGAGAAACTTATCGCTGTTCCAGGTATTATTTTATATCTAAAGCTCCCCTAGCAATTTGAAAATTCCTTGAACTCAAGAGTAGACTGGGACAGTTGTTATTCTCTAACTCTAATTTTGTATCTTTTGGATAATTGGAAATAATACATTTCTATCAACTGTCTCTAGTTTTTTCTACACTTATTGTGAGAAGTCAGATGTTCCTTGAACTCTAGAAGCAACTGGGACAGTTAATTCTAATAGATTATTCCCGAAGAGTTCAATTATAGAAAAAAGAAATCCAAAAAGTATAAATGTTTATTTTTGGAAACTGTATCAACTATCCATAATTTTTTCTTCTCATCAATTATAATTTATTACTTTTTGACTATTTTTATATAGTCAGAAATTGTTTGAATTAGTATCATTATCGTAACAAGTTCACAGACAATTAACATTTTTTATCATTTCGGATATAACCCGTTTGTATCAACTGTCCTTTATCTCAATTATTCCAAGTTTTCACTTTGGACAGCAGAACTTTAGAAGACTATCTCTGCTGTCCGAAGTGAAAATCTGGAATGCCGCATTTTTCTTAAGGTTGAAATTCACTTAGGGTCTAAACGAATCCCGACTCTACGGCAAATGCGGCTTAGTGGGCTTACTTTTACTTCGGACAGCAGACCTCTTGTGGGAATTTAAAAAGCTCCTCGAACTTTAGAGAAAAGTGGGACAGTTAATACAATTGCAGTATTTTCAAAACGTTTATTTATAGAATAAGGAACCCAACTGTCCCTTATATCAATTGCCCCAATTATCCTTTAAGCGGGTGTCAAAGTCGAGTCAGCTGTTCTATAGCAGCTTCAATGGAAAAGTCCAATTGAAGTTAACGTACCTTTAAGACTCCTCTAGAAATTCAAAAAGTTTCTCAAACTTTTGTAAAGACCTAGGACATTTGGTAGGAATGGAATATTTCCGAAACGTTTAGTTACTCACCCAATTAGTAGAAATTGTTTATTTTTGAAAACTGTATCAACTGTCTCTAATATTTCCTGTTCTCTAAATCTAATGTAGTAACTTTTGGACTATTTTTACAATCTTAATTATTGTTAGTAAAAGTTTTGTAACAAGTTTGCACTTGAAAATAAATATTTTTAATTGTTTCGGAAAAGATAAATTTGTCACAACAGTTCCATGTTTCAACTGTCCCTAGCTTTTCTAATTCTCTCAGAGGACTTCTAAGAATGTTGCAGCAGGTTCACATAATATGGAATGTAGTCAATTTTCCCCTTTTAGATAAATCTTTATGATTAATGATACTGGAATTGTTCCATTAGTGTTAATTGTCCCTTACACTTTCTGTAGATTCGACTAATAATAATTAATTTAATTAATTATTATATAATTAATATATATTATATAATTAATTATTATTTAATAAAAAAATTTTTTTTACAAAACGCGGAATTGTGACAAATTAATTGTGATTGTAACAATAATTGTTAATAAATAACTTGTAACTAACTAGAAAATTAAGAAAATAATAGACCAACAACTTTTTTGTTGATAGAAAAATATTCCAATAATCTTACAGGAATATTCCAAAGGAAGATTAAAAAATTTTTTAATTCCAGTGGAATATTTTTGGAAAGTCTAAAAAAGAAGTAAAATTTTCTTCTAGATTAAAATGAATCTAATGGAATATTCTAGAATTGTTTGACAAAAAATTTGCTGGAGTGTTTCTTCATAATTTTCTCTTCTATTCTAAATATTTTGAGAATATTCCTTGAGAATTTTCTTTCAATTTTCTTGAAAAATATTTTAGCAATGGGATTAAATTATTTTTAATTCTTTTAATAAAATTATTTCCTAGAAAAAATTGTTAATTCATCTTTTGCAAATCTTTATAGAAACAATTTTATATTTAAAAAAATGGATGTAAATTTATTATTAAGAGTTTGCTAACATTAAAATTTCAACTTAAAGAGAAGAATTTTAAAAGAATCAAATACAATTTTTTTTATTTAAATTCTTTATATTTATGTAAAGAAAAATTAGAAGAAAATTAGTTTGAATTATTTTTATTGAACTTATTTATTCCAATAAAATAATAATCCAAACTAATTTTGCTTGTTCAAACGAGCAAAATTAGTTAAAAAATAAAAAATATAAATATAAAATAAATTAATAATATAAAATAATTCTATAAAATCAATTTTATAGGAACTATTTCTAATTATCTACTACGAGAAATGTAGAGATTTTTTTTTATAAAAGAACCTTTTATCATCTACTGAAAACTAGTAAAACTAGATCGATACTGCTTTTCGAATAATTGCTGCTTTATCAACAGGGTTTAGTGTAGAGTTACTGATTTAGAAACGATGTAAATTTCTTTCCGTTTGATGGCAGCAGCGCTCAATTTAAAATAAAACAGTTTATATCAATAATAATAACAACAATAATAATTGATAACAATAACAAAAGCGTCATTTTTGTTACAATCTTTAAAATAATTACGTAAATTTCTTGAGTAAGATTAGTGCTGATAAATTTAAAAATTTGAAAATTTGCAATGTAAGAGTTTAATTATTTATTGTGAAAATGTTGTTGTATCAAATTAATGCGATAACAGAGTTATTCGATAACAACTTTTTTTATAAAGATTAAGTTATTTCAATTTAAATATTTCCTACTTCCTTCAAATATAAATTTTGAGATTATTTAATCTGAAAATTAATACAGAATAAAATTAATACAATTAATACAGAAATTTAAAAACAAAAATAGGTATTATTGAATCATTAATTACAAAATTTCTTCTATTGAATTAAAATTGCAATTTTTTTGTTTTTTATTTTAATTTAAATTTTTTACTTTAAAAATCAATTAAATGAAATTTTTTAAAAATTTTGAACAGTAAGGCAATTTATGAAGGAAATTTAAAAGTTTTTGAAAGAAATTAATTTAATTTTCGTTTAATGAGCGAGAGATAATTAATTTACAATGTAAGTGATATATAAGAGAAATTATCGATAAATTATAAAAAAATGAAATTTATTTGCAATTTTTTTAAGGAAATAAAAATACATTGAAATTTCTATATTTCTAACAAGTGACGTATATTGCGTTATGAGAAATTAAATCATATTAATGATGCAAGTTGTAGTTTAATTGACAAATTTATAAATAATCGCATTTCACTGATGTACATTATGCAACTACTGAAAAATTGATAAGAAGCACTTTGGGACCATTCAAGTATTACATAAGCATTTAAGGGGGAGGGGGGAGTCTAGCTATTGCTTATTTCCATTAGAAAAAATGGCGCTAATGCATATAAAAAATCTTACATGAGGGAGGGGGGGGGGTCTAAAAACCTGAAAAATATGCTTACGTAATACTTGAATGGCCCCTTTTGCTTTATGCTTCGAAATATTATTCAAAACCAAAAAACAATGGGAATTCCCGATTAGGTAGAAACAAAATTTTTTAAATTGTCATTGTATTTCAATATTTTTGCTTATTTCAGTATCAATATCACGTAGCGATTAAAATTAAACTAATTCTTTTTATTTTATTTATTTTTATTTATTTTTTTATTTTATTACCCTCAAAAATTTATAATCTTTTTTCATTTATATTTTTTAATATTTATTATTTTATTTAATTATTTATTTTGTAGTAAATTATTAAACTGATAAAATATGATAAAATATAAACTATTTGAATTGTTTAAATTTATCTATTGGCTTACTTATTAATACAAATTGATAATTAAAATATATTATTTATTCATCATATGTTTTGCTTTTTATATTTTATAAATTATTGTATTTTGTTAATGTTTATGGTAGACTTTGTTAATTATTATTAATATTAATATTGTTCTTTGTCATTAATTAAACTATTTTAATTTTTAAAAATTAAAATTATAAAATATGAATAATTCCTGGAAAATTCAAATATAAAACATAAATATTATAAAAGTAATGTAAAATTTAAATTTATTGATTCGTTCTTTTGTTTTTTATATTTTTTAAATAATATATTTTGTTAATGTATTTTTATGTCATGTTGTTATTTTTGTTATTAATATTTTTTATCTCATCATTACGTGAATAATAGTGAAAGCAATTGAGATAAATCATTTTTTCGATGTTAATCCGATAATATAACTGTTTAAATTAATTTTAACAAATATTATAAATATATCAGTAATCAATACATTCACGTGACACATGTATATTAAAACGATGATAATATCTTATTTTTTTATCGTCTCTGAATAGATTTCAAAGCAAAAGCACATTCAATGAAGAAAATATCAGTGGCTTCCTACAATTCATCAATTAAAGATCTGTGTATAGTAGTTTGTTTTCAAAAAATAGTTAGTTCTCATTTTATATACATATGTAAATTGAATTGAATATATAAAAATATATTTAAAAATCTAAATCATTTTTTTTATAATAAAAAAAAGAATAATACGGATTAGAGTGCAAAGACCCTTGTGCACGCCTCAGGTTTCAACCGGTAATGGAATTACATTCTCCTTTCTCGCCGGAATTGATTTCCATTCGCCAGCAAGCCTCAGTTTTTCAAGAAATGTCCCTGGAACGACATCTCAGAGGCACAGCATCTTCCCCGTAGGTTTTCTTTTGATCGTATTTCTTTCAATTTGTATATACATATATAGGCATGATTTCTAAACTCTTGAAAAATATCACCAACTTCTTAATACTCGGTAAAGAATTTTTCCTGATACTTTTCTGATCTGCTCGAGATTTTTTCTTTTTTTTATATCAAAAAGTTTTGTTTCCATGCAATTCCGTGTGTAAATTTATCTAGACTATAAATTTGTCCCAACTCGAGAAAAGAAGTGAAGCTACTGTTTTTCAAAGTTTGACAGGTTCGTGATATCTTTCATATCGTTTTCTTTTCTCTTCTCTAAATATATATATTCTTTCGGGACAGAAGTGACTGCTGGAGAATATCTTTGATTTGAAGCCAAATAAAATATAAAAACAATATATCGAGTATTTTCTCTTTTGTATTTGTTTTTCTGGTTTTTCTCTGTGTATTCTTTTTTGTCTTTATTCACAATTTTCATATTTTTATTATTTTTCCTTTTTTGTTATGAAAAAAACGTTTTTTGTATTTTAAAATTTTTCATTAAATATTCATTATCGCTTATTATTCTGCGAGTTATATTTAAAAAATTTAATTTGATCTCATAATCTTGGTTTTTAAAAACAGGATATTGATTAAAAATGAGATAAGTAGTTTTAATACGGTGAAATTATTAAAAATTACATTACATCAATTTTTATTTAAGAAAATTAATTTTACTATATTTGCATATTATTTATTTTATTTTATAGTATTTTACTGTAACCAAAAGGGAAAATAGTAGCTAAAGTAAAATAAGCAAGTAATTTATATTTCTTATAAAATTAATTTATATTCACTATTAAGATTAAATTACGTTAATTTTTATTGCAAATTAATTAATTAGACTATTTTTACTTTGTTTTTACTCTCTAAATCTAAATTAGTAAAAATTAAGCCAATAATTTATACTATTAAGAATATTTACTAATTTTTGATGGAATTTTAATTTTTTTTAGTAGTTCTAATTATTTTTAATTAAACTTTCAGTAAAAAATGACTAAAATTTGGTAAAAATGTTTATAATTATGAATTAATAGCTCAAATTTTACTAATATGATATAGTAAAGACAGTCACTTATGCAAATAGTAATATTCTTACTTATAAAGTAGTCATTAATGACTAATTATTAGTTAATCTCACTTTTAAGTTATTCTAAAATAACTAAACTTTTTGGTAACTAATGTAATTAGTAATGTTTTTTTTAAATAGTCAAAACTATTTTCTTAGTTATTTATTTAAAAAATAATTAAATATTTTCTACTAATTGGTCCTTTCTTCTAATAATTGGTCATTTTTTACTACTGTTGAATCAAAATGTCAGTCAAGATTTTAGTGGCAATTAGTTATTTTTAATGAATGAGATATGGAGAGTACTGAAACTAAAATGTAAATAGTACCTAATTTAAGTGAAATAAGCAAGTATTTATATTTACTTCAAAATTTACTTAAAAATTAATTTTTATTTATTTAAAAATCAATCTACCTTTATTAACAATAAATTATAAATAAATTTAAATTTAACTCAATTCTATAATACTTCAATCAAAACATACATAATTTATGCGAAATATTTATCTTTTGACAAAAAAAAAAGATTTTTTTTCTGTTTTAATATATATTTTGAAAGGCTGACAAATAGGAGCTTCTCTTGCGTTCATATAATTAATTTCCATAAAGCTCATTAATTAAAACGTGCTTTGAAATAACAGCAGATCCTCAAGAGAGTAGGGAAAATCTCTGCTTTGCATGAATTATTTTACATTTTTAATTAAGTTCCTTTATTGGCAGCAATTGTTTTAATTTTCAACGCGACTGTTTCCATTTGCAATGAAATAAAATGTGCACACATTTCCCACGTTGATATTTATTTCGTGTGTCAATTTTCGATTATTTTTTTATTTTATTTCATTTTTTTTTTTTTTTGACATTCTTCATAAATAATGTTCAATTCATATTTGATCAGAAATAAAGCTTCAATTTGGGAATAATTTCGATAATATCTCTTGTCGTTGTTACATGTACATTGGGAAAACTAAATTATTCCGTTATTATATGATTTTTTATTTAAAGTTTCAAAATGTTGATAATAAATTTTAGATGTAAAGTAAATTTATCAATCCTCATATTGAATATTTTTTAAACTAGAATTTAAAAGAATAAATGAAACTTATTATTTTATTTTAACTAATTATTTTTGTTTATTTATTTGTACATATAATAATATGTATTATAATATGTATATACATATTTATTAATACTAATATCTAGAAATATTAATACAAAATATTTATGTTATTTAATTAAATGATTATTTTCGGGTAAATGAAATAACTTTGAAAATATTGCTGCCTATAAGGAGGAAAAATAAATTTGATTCCGAGGGAAAATACACAGAAAAAATATTGGAAAAGATTTTAATAATTATTTTCATCACTACTTTGGGGTGATAACTTTTTTTCGGTGGGAATTTATTCTTGTACAGAAAAAAGTGTTTTCTTTTAATAACATAATATTACAGTTGACAAGTTAATATAAACGTACTTTATTAGTTGGTCTAACAAAAGTAATATAAGTAAGTAAATTAATGTTTTTTTTACAATAAGTTTATTGATTTAAAAATTAGTCAAATTTACAATAAAAATTAATAATCTTTTAGTAAATTAAAAAGTGTCTTTTTTACAATAAATTATTAATTTAAAACTTATTTCGTAAAATTTACGAATGAATTTAGTAAATAGTAGTAGTAATAGTAAATAGTAAACAGTCTCAGTAAATAATCAAGTATTGTTTTATAATAAATTAGCAATTAAAATTTATTTAGTTATATTTACGAAATGATTTAGTATAATACCTTTAGTAAATAAATTAGTGTTTTCTGCAATAAATTAATAATTTTAAACTTATTTAGTTTTCAATGCACTAAATTAATGGCCTTAGTAAATAAGTAAGTATCTTTTACAAAGAATTAGTAATTTAATACTTAGTAAAAATGGAATAAGTAATTAGCCTAAGTAGTCATTTAAAACCTATTTAGTAACATTTACGAAATGAACTAATAACTTTAGTAAATAAGTTAGTGTTTTTCTACAGTAAATTAGTAGTTTTTAATTTATTTAGTAAAATTGATGGAATAAATTATTAGCCTTTGTAAATAAATATCATTTTTTAATAAATTAGTAATTAAATCTTATTTAGTTAAAATTACGAAATAAACTAGTAACTTTAGTAAATAAGGAGCCTCTAAATAAGTTAGTGTTTTTTTACAATAAATTAATAATTTTAAACGTTTATTTAGTAAAATTTACAGAACTAATTAGGGGCCATTCAAGTATTACGCATTATTATGCATTATTATGCATTATTATGCATTAGCGCCATTTTTTCTAATGGAAATAAGCAATAGCTAGACCCCCCTCCCCCTTAAATGCTTACGTAATACTTGAATGGTCTCTTAGTAGTATTAGTTAATAAATTAGTAAAAATATATGTTGAATAAATAAATGAAAAAATTATTACTCATTAATTACTAATTGATTTTATAAATGAAACGTAACTGTTGACATATCTTTAATTTCTCTGAATTTTAATTAGTTAAAAATAACTAATTTGATAGTCAAAAGTCAGTTACTGCTTTAAATAGTGATATTTTACTAATCAAATAGTTATTAATAACTAATTAGTTAAATTTACTTTTAGGTTAAGTTAAAATAACTGAAATTTTTTGTAACTAACTCAATAATTAGTGAAACTTGACTATTTTTGTAGTTATTTATTTACTAATAAAATAATTTGTAATTTTCTACTAATGATTAGTTATTTTTAACTTACTTACATTTAGAGAGTTGCATTAAAGTTTTTGTTTATTCACCTAATATTTGTATTTAATTTGAATTTAATATTATTTTAATGTTTTAAAATTTAGGTAATAATAGTAAAATTTCGTTCACTCTAGAAAAAAAATTAAGTCGTTCTAAAATTTTGTTGATCGTGCTAAAAATTTTATTTTAATATTTAAAAATGTAGGTAACTATAGTAAATTTTTGTTAAGTTTTAGAAAAAAATTTGACTGGTTCTAAAAAACTTTGTTGGACATGCTAAAAAAGTATTATTGTAGAAATATGAACGAAATATTTTATTGACAGTATATTTGACAAATATATTAATGTTGTCAAATAAATTTCTCAGTGCTCACAAAAATATTTCAATACTGGAAAAGGGAGCATCTTTCTTCTTTTAAATATTGTAAATATTTATTGAAAGAATATAATCTTTTATTCAAATTTAATTCACAAGTTCTTTTTTTATTAATTTCCTAGAATTTACAATTTCTGTAAATTTTCTTCTTGTGGATTTTTTTTTCCAAGTAACGGTAAAAGTATTAAATTTAAAAATTGATGTAGCTTATCGAAAAACTATATTTTTCTACGGAATACAAGTTTATTTTTCTTTTCGTTGAATAAGAGAGAAAGAAAAAGAGAAGAAGCAAACGGAGAATTTGTTTTAAAGGGAAGGCACTATTCTGGATAAAATTGGTCTTTTGAGATCGACCTTTAGAGCCCTGGATTTACAGGATTCAAAGCCAAAGGATAGTATCTTCATTCAGCAGCTTGAAAACGAGAGAACGATCCCAGTGCATGAGAATAAATATGGAGGCGTTGAAACGAAGAAAAAGGATTTTAAAATTGTAAGGAATAGGATAATTCGTGGGAAAAGTCGTGAGGAGGAAGAAAATCTTCAACCAATATCACTCGATGAAGTCGCTTGGCACGATACCACCGACGATTGTTGGATCGTTGTTTACGACTATGTTTACGATTGTACCGATTTCGTCAAGAATCATCCCGGTGGTCAAGACATTATACTCGAGTATGCCGGACGAGATGCCACTCTTGCATTCATTGGTACAGGACACTCCAAGGTAGCCAAGCAGAATCTCGAGAGATACCTAATTGGAGAACTTCCTCTTTCCGAAAGAATATTTCGCACTCCGGACGGTGTAAAAATTGTAGATTTTTGATTTTTTGCTCTTCTTTATAATTAGTTTTTTAAATTTAATTATTAAATCAAGTATGATAATTTTAAAGATTTAAAATTCTTGTCTTTGGGTCAAAATTTCTCAAATGCATCGCCTGAAATTAAAAAATTTAATTTTTGTCACGTCGTTGTCACACTAGGTCAATTCGACCCGAACTTCATCATCACTTCGAGCGATCTTTGAAGTAAAATTGATAATTATAATTTAAATTATCCTTATAATGATTATTAATTATTTCCTTTTTGGTAAAATAAATATAAAAATATGCTCAACAACCGTACATAGAATGTTTAAAATTTTTTAAGTTAAAAAATTTTTTTTTAATATTTTTAAATAAACAAATTCTGTTTTTAATTTTAAAATTCATCATTCTGTTTTTGAGAAAAAAGTTATTTTACTTAAGACTCCTAAAAAATTATGTTAATCTAACTTTTAAAAAAATTGTCGTTTTGAATCTAAAAATTTCATAAACTTATTGTTTGTGGCTCTAGAAATAAAAAATGATTTAAGGTACTGAAAATAGATTACATTTTGGAAATTTTAGGTGATCCATTCTAAGAAATTCTGACCCATTTTGAAAAATTGTTTCTTGAAACTTTTTAATTCTGATAAGTGTGTTTTTTTAATTTTATTAAAGAAAAAAACGAGGAAGTTTGATAAGTGAATTTTTTAATTAAGAGAATAATATAATTCGAAACTTAAAAACTTTCGTACAAAATTTTAATAGTAAAAAGTTTAAGAATTGTAATTTGACTTTCGGTAACTTGTATAAAAAGTAATTGTTGGAAGGCAGAAAACTCGTTAACTTCACTTCGAGTATGCTTGAGGAAAATTTTCAAACTAATTTTACAAAAATTTGGTTTTCAATTAAAATTTCTAAATTTCATTCAGATTGTTATAATTTTTGGAATGAAAATGGAAGTTTTCTCATTTTGTTTTGTTGATTTAGAATTATGGAGCATTTTCTACATTCTTGACGAGAGTATTTATTAGGTATGTTAATTGTTATCATTAATTTACTAATTGTAAATTTTAATGTTACAGATAAAAAATTGTTAATAGTAATATTATTTGTACCGCTGTGTATTTTAACAGATTTTTTAACGTTTACACAATAATTGCATCGTATTTATTTCATAGTGCAGCATAGATGATTTTATTTATTCTAACGATAGTAAATCTAATTTTAATTAATTAACTTTTTAATTTATTATCTGCGAAAAAATGTTAATATTAATAGACAAAACTCAACATTTATACATTTGTAAAAAAATGGAAAAATATACTGCTCGATTTTTACTTTTGTAATCTACAATTTATTAAAAGTTTCATTATTATTTTATGATGGAAATAAATATATACCTGAAGAATTTGATAAAAAAATTGGTATATTAAATTTTTCCTTTATCAATAATTGTTTAATAGAAACATTTAAAAAATTGGTCAAAGAAATAAAAAATTCGTAAAAAGCATGAAAAGGAAAAAACTAAATTTAAAAAATAATAAAAAATAGGATACAATAAATATTTGAAAAGATAATAAGATGATATAGATACATAATTGAAATTAAAAAAAAATTTTTTTTTAATTTTAATTTTTAATTTTATTTGAACAATTTGTTTTTAAATTCATGGCGTTTTGATGATTTGCAAACTTAAAACAATATTTATTAGTTGATTATTTATTATCAATAAATTTCTCCAACCGTAACGTTTTTCAAAAAAATTTGGTCAATTGTTATATCTTTTGTCCGCCATTGCAAATTTCTTTCTTTGTATATTTCATTTGAAAATTTTTAATTTTAATTTAGTGATTCAAAAAGTTCTAAAGTAAAATTTTTTATTTTCTTGTAGAAAAAACTTAAAAAACAGAATTTTAAAAAAATTATTTTTAATTCTTATTTACTTCAATTTTTTTAATTTCTAGTATAATTTTTTCGTTTTCTTCAGTTTTATTTTATTTTTGTTTAAAATGTTTTATGTTTTTTTTTTTTTTTTTTTGAAAAAATCCTATTGCTTTTCTCTTCTGCACACCTTATCCTTCTGTTTTCTTTTCCTTCTGAATAAATTATTCTTTAATCCCAATCCATAAGATGTTTATGCAATTTGTGGGTTTTGGTTTTATCTTCAGTGTCTCAACTAACCACAATCAGATTGAATTTCCTGAAGGGATTTTATTGAATTTTTTTTCTTCTTAGAAAAGATTATTACGAATTAAGAGTATTCTTGTACAAGTACACTTTTTTTCTCCTCCTAATTCCATGTTACGCTAAAGGGATAATAATAGTTTCCATAGTTAACAATTATGTAATTATAATTTCCACTCGACTATTATTTATACTCTTTTGATGTTCTTTAAATATTCTACGCTCTCAATATCTTCTCTAACGAGGCACTCACCACTACTTTAGTTTCATTACAGAAATAACTTTCGTAAGTCTTGAATTTCCTTGCAATTTTTCTTGCCGTTTTCTAGCTTCACCTTTTTCATTAATCTTATTAGAAAGTTCGCAAGATACTTTAAAAAATAAAAAATATTAAGAAAATATAAAGTAAAAATATACAAAACTAAGAAATATATATGAAAAGGGGAATTTTTTTAGTTTACAATTAGTAGAGTTTTTTTCTAATTTAATTTAATCTTTAATTACACTTGAAACAATTTTTGTGCTTTTAAATTAAATTAGGTATTTGATTAAATCTCTTTATTTGAAATTCAAAATTTCATTCCACTTGAAAATATTTTTTTCTCTTTTTGAAATGAAATTATTTGATTAAATCTCTTTATAGGAAAAACAAAAATTAATTTAACATACATTTAGAAAAAGATAAAAATTAATTAAGAGGTCGGACCAGTGATATTTAAATCCATTGAAATTTACCTTGTTGACAGGCGTCAATTTTTATCTATAAATTTTGTAATGACCAAAAAATATTGTTTATTAAATTATTAATGAATTTAAAAAAAAATTATTTTTATTCACTTTAGAATTTTTATTGATTGAAAAAGTTAAAAATTAAAAAAATTTATTTTTTAAATCATCTCATTAAAATTTACATTTTGGAGGGATGTTAATTTTTTATGAATTTTTTAGAAAACAAAAGGTTTATATTTCACCATGAAAAATAAAAGGACATTTTTCTGACCATTTTATAGACGAATTATAAAATTTCAAGTGGATTAGCTGTTTTGTTTGTCCGTCGCTATCTTGTTTCTCATAATTTTTAGAAGTGACGGAATACAGCAAGAAAAAGTTTTTAAATTTAAAGTTTGAATTTGAAAAAATGTTGAACCTTTTGACTTTTTGGTTTTTAGAACCAATAAAATACCCTGCATATTTTCTAAGGATGCTCCCCATTTCTATACAATTAGGGTATCCATAGGATATTTGTAGGACGTCCATAAATAACATTATTACAGCTAATTGATATCTTAATTTCCAAAGACTAGTGAATAATCTCAAGATGTCTATAGGAGATATCTAAGATATCCTACGATATCAGTAGGATATTAGAATTCTTTGCTCTACTGGATATTCGAAATATTTTATTTAAATATTTTCAAGATATTGAAGCATATGAAAATTACTTAAATGTATTGTGGAATAAAAAAATGAAAAAGTCGAAGTTGTAGAAAATAGCGATAAAAATTGCAAAAAAATTAATTATAATTAATAACATTCTCAACAATTTTTCACAATTATAAAAAAGCCTAAGAAAGTGTTGCCAATCAAAAATAATTAAAATTGTAAAAGAGGTTCAAATTTGAATTTTTCTAAAATTTAGAGTTTCACTAACAAAATTTTTTAAGTAATAAATTTCTTCTACTTTTTTATTCTGAAGAATAATTATATATCTTCAGAAATCTTGTAGAAAAGAAATTAACAACGTGTGAGTTTTGATAAGTTGAAATTTCACTAGTCCCTTTCCTTAAATAATGAAAAAAGTGAACTTAGAACAAAACAAATTTTTTATACTTATTTCTCTAGAAATGAGAAAAAAATAATAAAAATAATAAACAAAGAATTACAAATGAAAAAACGTAAAATATGTGGTCTTTTTATTAAGAATGGTCTTTTCTATTAAGAATGAAACTTTGTTAATTCAAAAAGACCGCAATGACAAAGAGATTTAATGAATCATAATTTGAAAAGTTAATAATAATTCGATACGTATTCAATTGTTAATTGAATGGTAATGCTTTTTGGCCTCTCTGGCTCTCTCTCTCTCTTGCTCTTTTAAAGTCGAGAGAAGTTATAATATGATTATCGATAATTTACTGAACTGTTCAGTGGTTGGAATTAGCTATGTGTGCAAGAATTTCTTGAACTATTCTGAAATCAGGCAAGAGATTAATTGTGGTCAACTATAGTGGTCGTAATTTCAAACAAACTTTGGTCGTTATCTTGCGCGCAGTATTATAGATCTGTTTCAAAGTAAGATCTAAATGGTAAAATGAATGGAGGAAAGGGATAATGGGGATCAATTCATTTTACAGCAGTAGATTATATTTCTTGGTCCTCTAAACATTTATAATATACACAACATACAGTACAATATAATATTTTTATATATATATGTATAGCGATATTTTATATTTTCACTTTTTATTATTTCCACAATAGTCGATTTTCGTTTTTTTTCTTGAATAATCGCAAAATTTTACAACGAAAAAAAATATGGTTGGGATAATAATATTTGTGTCCAGTTCCAACTGGACATGTCACATAAATTTTTTATGGATTACAAAAATGTTGTTCTTTAGTTGAAAAAATATTCTGTGCTTATCACAACCATGTTTCGAAATTTTATTATTGTGGTATGTATGCACTTTTAGTAATTATAATAAATTTTTATCATGATTATAATTTAATTCATTGTAATTATAATTGAAATTTAATTCATTATAATTATAATCTTTTACAATTTAATTAGTTATAATTTTCATTTTAGTTTAATCCTCGATTTAATCAGTTAATGTAAATAAATAATTAAGTCATTCGTAAAAAAATTGTTTTAGGTTGTTAACTAAAACTTTTTATAAATAAAATTTTATTTTAGTAGTTCTTCAACTTTTCGAAATTAAAAAGAATTAATTATAATTTTAGATAATTATAATTATAGAGACTTATTATGATTGTGTTGGCCAGAGAATTTGCTTGTCAACCAGAGAAAACATTCTGGTAAAAATATAAAAATTTATGTGAGATATAAAATTATACGGCAAAATTATTTTTCAACCATGTCTTTTTTTCGTTCCGTGTATCTCTCCTTCGAACTTCCATATAACT